GTTCTGGCAATCATGAGCTATACATGCGTAGAAGGAAGTCTGACTCTATTTATCGAAGTGCAGTAGATAAAGATACAGGCGAAAAAGGGACGTGAATTGAAGGGGGCGCATTTACCTTGATGGCGGGGGTCCCTGGGCCCTTCACAACGATAGGGTTGAGACTGAGGTCTGCGTTTGGTTTCACCTTGTTCCCGTGTTCCACAAACAAGCTATTAACAACTGAAGCGACACCGCCGTGAAATATCTGGATCCCCTCGCATACGGGACAGTGGCCCGTCCCCTTATCCCTGTAACATATCTGTTGTAGACCAGAGTTCCACCGTGTATTTCTGGAGGCAATTGATGGTCGACAGAGTAGGGATCCTCGAATCTGGTTGTCAGACCGAACGAAACTCTGGATCCAGTTGAAGCTGCCGAGTAGGTCAGGTACGGTTCCTCGCTCTCGCGTTGTCTGTCGACTAGCGCGGTTGGCTCGTGGACACTTTCTTGTAGCACCGAATATGTTGTGATGGCTGGAGCAGGAGGGGTACCAAAGGGAAGCGCCGAGGACGTCACTAAAAAAAGAAGAGAAGGGCAGTGCAATGCTTTGTTTATGTGACTATCTGACGCTTGGCGGTCACTTTAGAACTTGTCTAGGCCCAGTACACGTGGGCTGGCCTTCGGGCCACGCTCAGGCCCCTATTTCCCCTATTGTTTTCGGAATACATGTATTCAACCTCGCCTATGCATTCTACTACCTCATTTGGAGCCTCGGGACGCTGCAGCCCACCCTTACGTTGGGCATCCTTTTTCTCCAGGAAATCCTTAAGACGTCGACTATAGCGACCTAGTACCAGGTACTTAATATTCCACATTGTAGGATCGGAAACTTGTATTGGGATCTAACTAATGACTTACTGCCTCCATTCAAATTCATTGCAGCGATTTCCGACTTCATGACAGTGCTGTACGCATATGCTCTTGAAATTCTTGTCTGTTATGCATTTTTAAAGTCAACTTGTTGCTTATCCAATCTATGAACTCTGTTTCATTCTATCTACCAATACGTATTAATAAAAGTAAGTTTAAATGTAAATTAAAGTTTATAAGAATCTGAACCTCCGTTTGCTTGTTGGTAAAATAGATTTTAATATAATTTGTAAACACCTATTTCAAGAAGGGTTGTTTTCCGAAGGCAATTCTCGGGTGGCTATTGCGAATTTTCACCCTTGTCTGGTTTGTTCTATTTCACAAATGACATTTGGCGTCTGGCTAAGGATGTTCCTTTTTAGTATGGAAGCAGCATTCGAACAAATGTTTCTTCCTGGTGCTAGTACTTTTTTTTCGTTTCTAGAAGGGTCACAGTTGTAGTTTTGTTAGCAGCATTAAATGAACGGGGTGAAGGCATTATGGGACATCATCAACTTCTAGCCTTGTCTTTGCTTGGGTAAGAATGATCGGCGGTTCATGAGCTGTTAGTTGTACCTTCTGCGTTTCAGTGGGTTTATTAAAGTCAATTTCGGCAGATCCATAATTTTATCCATTGCTATTTGGTTGTGCGTTAAGTCTGCATGATTTGAGTTTCTGCAACATTGGTGTAGTGTCTGCCATTTGCTGATTTTGGCGTAACGCTACTTAGGTGACTGAGGTGGACTCTTGTAGCATAGAACGTCTTGGAGACTTATAACTGCTTGCCTAGAATTTGCCATATCACTACGTAAACCCTATCTTTTGGTCCAAATGTCAAATCGATTAATAGATTTGGCAGAATGTCTGATTATTGCCTTAGACCATATTTTCGTCATCTTTAATCATTAATTGAAATCACTTGGCAAATCAGATGTAGTTTTCTGTAATTAGATCCTCTCTCCATACGTATATTAGGTGTTTTCTACGCCTATTATAGGGACTCTGTTTCCAAGAGCGCAGGTCAAGTGATAGTGCTGGAGAACTTCCTGCATATTTGCTCCCGGCATTACTGGCCTCTATGCCTGAGAGAGCAATCGGCGTGGTGTACTAATCCTTCACCTAAAGGAGTCTGCAGCGAATGTCACTCATGTCCGCCACTTCAGCCTCCACCGACGATGCTACTGTTGCTACTGCGAATACTTCGGTTGCAGTGCCGTTGAACGCAAAATGAATAAGAATTTCGCCGAAATAGTCTTTGGAGAACCTTATCAATTTGTGGTTTGATTGCAATGAATTGATGTATTCTACGAAGTATGTAGACTTGATCATGATGCCTACTGCCCGTCATTACCGTGTACAGATTCGTTATATGACAAAGCCATATTTACCTCCTACTAAAGTGGTGCTTACCAACATTAAGTGTAAAACAATATAATAAGTTCTGTAGACTGCAGGGCGCACGCATTTACCGTAAATCATTCTTACACAAAAGCAGGTCGTACTTTGCTCTTTCTTGCGATGTGTCGTCAAGAATACACATACACAAATGCAGGGATGGGGTCCTAGAAAAAGAATGTTAAGACAAAGTTAGATTGTTGGCTTAAAATTGTGACTATTAGATAGACGAGGAGGGAGGAGAAGCAAATCTGGATTACCGTTGTCTGCAAATCGTGTTGCACTCAGCCTCCTCATAGAAATGGAAGTCATGAGGGCTCCTGTCGGAAAAGCAGCATTTGTATTTGATGCATCCCATTCTAATACATGGTCTCCACTTACATTCTTAATTGTGCTACAATTGTAGGAAGGTCGTGATTATTATGTTTGTTTGTTTGTTTTATGCGGCCCAGCTTGCATTAGGATACAGCTATTGCTGGTTCTATTTAGCCAATAAGCGCAATCTTCGTTTCGACATTCGCTCTCGCGCCTCGTCAAGTCTGGGAGGTAGGGTTACTGGACTTCACTGCTACGACATAGTGCAACAAATGGTTGTAGAGCCCATTACATTTGTGCAACTTCTCAGTTTACATATTTTGACCTGCTTCCTGACCTGTTTTCTTATGGCTCTTTGTAACTAGACGTCTTGAGTATAGTCATTCATAGCATTAAAAGGGGGAGTTTGGCTGCTGTTTAGACCATGGGTTAGGCTGCGGTGCAGAAGGTCGCAGCAGAACTTTGAAGTAAACCAGGAATGTGTCAACACATGCTGGTAAGAGGAAGTGCTCAACATTCCAAAAGTGGTGTGATGCTTTTACTATACTGCAGGCAGCTCGCCCATATGCAACAATACTGGACTCATAGCCGTCACTTGAGATTAGGTGTCCAAGTCGATGAAGGCGAAGCTTCGGTGTAATAATCCGTTTATCTTTTTCATTCGTCTAGTCCTTGCACACTGAGACTTGCCTTTGGGCCAAGCCCAAGCTCAATTCCTTATTGCCTAGAGCATATGGATTCGGTCCAGCTTAATGCATTCTTTTATCTAGGTGAAAGTCACGCCATTCTACATGTGATGTTCACAGAGTGCTAGAAAGGAGAGAAAAAGACTAAATGAAGTAAAGTTGTGAAGCAAAGTAAACTGCTAGTTTCACATAGGAGACCATGACACAATCAAATTAGTACAGTGGTCAATGCAGTTAGTCCAGGGTGATATGTACAGCGGCAGTAGATGCATTATGAATGGAGGTGATTTGCGTCTACGCCCCGAATCTGAGTCCGAAGCCGATCGACGGTGACAACTTTAGGAAAAAACACTTTTAGTTGGTAAAATGCACTAACAAGGGCTGCAATTCCTATTGCACAGATACTCATAGTTTCTTCACAGACAAGAAAAGATGGATCATTTGAGTAGAATTAATGCAGTCGGCAAAGTAGTAGGAGATTAAGCTCCTGCCACTGATCGATGCGATACCTGTAATGCGATTCATTTGAAGCACAGAAACCAAGCTTCCGCCGTTTAAGCTGGCCATGAGGTTAGGTTGCAGCCATATTTTTTCCTCATCTGTTAGAATGAAAGTATTCATCCAATACTTATGGCTTCACTTACCAAATGAGAGGTCTAGTTGTACCATAAGCTTATGTTTTAGGCTCACCTATATTAGAGAGTCAGAAAAGCAATTTGAACACGAATTCAGTTCGCGAGAAGCGCGAAGAAACGTTCTCAGGTTGACATTAGCTTTTCATTTCATCAGCGATCCACCCTCATTTTCTTTCGTTCTGCGCATGTTGCCCAATAAAGCTTCCTTAACTAACCGTCTCCCGAAGGTCCCAGGTTCAGGGACCTGAGGGTAAGTAGGCTGGCAGGCTCTGCACTAGTAACGTTACACTTGAATGAGCTTAATCTAGGCAGTCAAGCGACTAAAGTCTTATAACCATAACCAACCTTATCAGTTAATCCGTCCAATCTTTGTCAACTAGACTTGAGTTCAATGTCATCATCTATCAATATTGGCTAACTAGGATGATCATGCAAAGTAAAAGTATGGTCAAGAACACTTTTAACCGTAAATTTTTATAGCATAGCATACGTATTCACAAACCTACAGCTTATATATATATGCACATGGTAGCCTATTTTTTAATCATCCAGCATATTCCATGATTCGTTTTAACTACACAAAAACCTTGATAAAAGGTTGTATCTTTATATAAGGGCTTGACGATTTTGGTGTGGGTGGTGTTGGGTTGACCTATGTTCGTCTCTCGCATTAAGTGCGTTTTCGCTGGCGATGATGCCGTTGGTAAAACCTGCTTGATCTTTAGAAAAGCATGCGGGAAGTTTTGCGAATCATATATAAAGCCGGTGGTTCTCTAATATCGATTATTGTTCTAGGATTGTGGCTTTCATTCAATATTTGTAGATGTGGGGGAGGATACGTATGAACTGTGTATAATTGAAAGCCAAGATCAGGGGATTTTGGAAATTCTCCGAGAGATCATCTACCCAGTTATCAGAGTGTTCGTGTTGTGCTTTGCCGTGGACCTGCGAGGTTCCTTCAATAACGTTACAAAAAAGGTGAGAAGTCGCACATCGAATCCACTTATCATCACTCTCTTCTAAGAACGTACTAAACCTGTTAAGGTCAACTTCTATTTGTAATAAGCTAAAAGGCCCATCATAGCTGTCCTCACTTGCACAGTACAATGTGCTCTTGTTTTGCGTAATCAGTTTGCCACGTATTTACCGCAGTGGGGCAATGAAAATGCACAACTTTCGTCGAAGAAATTAAATTGTTCTCATAGAAGGTAGTGCGTGGTCATCCCTGCATCATTGCACAATCTACATCACTATGCAGTGTTCCGATTTTGGCGTTGGCATAAAGTGCTCGACCACTTGGAGGTTTGTTGCATGCGGTTGTCCCACGTGGTTATCCTTTTGCAGTGTCTTCATCCACTCTGTAGTGGGCACACTTATAATTTTAGTGGGTTCCAGACATCAGGGCGTTGTGTCCAACTGTACCGATCCTCTTGGTTGGCTGTCGAACCGATGTTCGCGCAAGGTTCAGCATGAGCACAACAACATATCCTGAAGGGAAGGATCTGGCAAGACAAATAGGCGCGTTGGCATACATGGAGTGCTCAGCTTATGACAATGTATGTCTCCCACTTATTCGCTTATCAATGCACCCTTTGTTGCTTTGCCATCAATCTTTTTTAAAATGAAGCTGATCTATTGTTGCGAGGTTGTGATGTAGCATCAACGGTGGACCAGTCGAGTCCTTTTACTCGCAATGACAGCAAAGTTGTTGCGATTGTAGACCGGCGTGGATGAAGTTTTCACTAGGGTTGCACAGATTGCTGCCGATGGGAAAAAAAAGGAAATCACCACACAATGATGTGAAAGGAGTCGCGCGGTCCCTGCACTCAAAGATACAAGTGCACAAGAATACTGCGATAGCGCATCGTAATCCGACGCCTCTCGACAATACATAGAACTGACCGATTCACATGATTTCTTCCAATGAAAGTCCATTTTTGTCCTATTTTCTACACTCATACACACAATTCCTTAGTTATGGAGTTTGTCACTACCCCTGCAGTTTCACCTACTCAAGTGTGAAACCATGTCATTCATTATCACATTGTTAGACCTTGGTGGGAGGGGCGATCAGTGAGTGAGCAATTTATCTAAATAAGCAGTGCATAGTGAGACGAAGATTTCAATGATCAATGAGACGTCCAACAAAGGAAGTCCGATGGTTTTGTGATCTAAAAATAATAGAGGTAGGAGAGGAAAGGCAGAGGTGTAAAGTAAATGAAAGCGAAGTCGGAAGAAGTAGAAAGACTGATATTATCCGAGCTCCTTTTCGCCACATACTAACGCCATGAGTACATGAATTCTCTGAGCTGGTGAAGTAATTTGATCGAGACTAATCCCTTCCTCCACTTCTATTGCTTCTCCGTTGGGCGTGGGTTCTACGGATGTGGAGAATTGGAGTGCACCAGGAGTGTCTTCCTCCATCGGTTCATAGAAGAGCATGTAGGCCTGCAATGAGAGTAAAGCATTGCGTTGAGCTTTAAGTCCGCCTCATGTCCTAACCAATCAGCTAATTTTCGTACCTGACACTCCTTGACACGGGAAAAGGGGACCTGGTCGACGTATCGGTCGGAGCTGAGGATCCAGTTCTTTGGGCTGGCGTCTTCAGTACCAGCCCCAGGCCAGCACCGATAGGCCACGTAGTGACCCGCGTGGAGAGTGTTACCATGGTGCACGATCACAGACCGCAGTGCATATGGGAGGGATCTGTCACAAGAACAGTTTAGTTACACACTTTTAAAGAAGAAGGTAAATGCATACTTTTTCTTGCTTTTTTCATCACCCCATTTGACATTGCTGCGGCGAGCTAGAGCATGGAATGTACATCCAGTTGCAAGGTAGGGCGCAAGATCAAGGGTATCGGAGAAAATGATATGTTCGGTGAATTTTGACACCATACCACCATCGATGAAGCTCAGTACATAGTCATCCGTATCAGGTGCGATGTGCTTCAGTGGTATCCATACAGCACGCTGAATATAGATGACAAGAGGAGACTTCGTTGTTTTCGTTGTCGCTGTTGTTTGAGTCGTGGCGGGAGGAAGAGCAATCCATCGACGTGCACAGCAAGTGTTACGGCATAGACTCTCGGCAAAGTGTCGAATGGAGCTGCGATCAGAGACAGTCGGCGACGGATCGTTTATCATCGCCTCAGGTATTCGCAACGCCTCCATATGACAGCGAGGGCAATGGATTCCAGCCAGTGACTCTGCCACACAGAACTCATCGCTCAACATTGTCTCAACACTGCATCGGTATGACTCTTTGTCTTTAGACGACATTTTCTTGGTGTGCCGTTTCCTTGATTTTTCTATCAACAGAGAAATAAAATTAAATAATTCAAATAAAATGCATTAAATAGGCATATAAACTCACCGGGAAAGAGGATGATGCAAGATTCGGGTACAAGACGCAAATCGCTACGGTAGGAGCACTTGACGCAAAAGATTTGAGACACTATGAACTGATGAAAGGAGCTGGGTACAAAACTGGTCGAAAGGAAGGATGAAAGGTGAGGAGAAAAGTAGGCACTCATGCCGAATTGCTGCACTCCAGTACTAGTATTGGCGGCAGTAACAGTTGCAGCTGGCGTATCCCCATTGGTGGAGATCGGAGGAAAGGGGAGGAGCCGGGAGATGGTGAGCAGATCCTCTCTACCTGACAGAACCGTCTGTCTAGCCTCTGTGTTTGCCGCCCGGTCCATAAAGAAGCCATACAACTCGTGCACATCCTACAGTGGAATAGGCTTAATTTGCGAACCTTAATTTGACCGATTCAAGCGTTTTTACCAAAATACATTCACTACTACCAATTCTCTTTTAAAATAGTCGTATTTCACGTAACTAAAGCCAACAGCCAATGTAGTGGTAGTCAGGTAAGTCTATTGAAGTGAGAGAGGCCTCCACAAAGGTTTCAGTATCTTTGTAAAAAAGAACACGTGCCACACGCGTGACTCAAGCTAGATACATATTAATTCACGACAGGTAATGAGACCGCTAAGAGGAATGAGTTTTGTGATTTACGGATGCTGAATCTACCTAATCTTGCATTTAGTAGGAAACACATTAACAAAAGTTACAACCCATGACAAATAACGACCATTATACCTAAAGATATAAAATGTTTTGAAGGCATTAAGTACCCTTCAGACTCGCAATGCCATTAATGAACAATAATCAAGATATACACAGAGAAATGTTATGTCTACCAATCAGAGTGAGTAAACGTTTACCATTAAGAAGGAACTAGAAGAAAATTCGTGACCAAAAACTACCATTAATGATTCCATATCATTCGGTGATGCGGCCGAGTCAATGCTAACCACGACAGAATTAGTCTCTCTGTGTAATATCCAATGAAATTGGAAATTAAAGCTTAGCCTATGCCCTAAACACATGAAAGCACACATAGGACATGCAGACCATCTCATAAAATGGGATGATTTATTTACTTAGGTAAGACGAATTAGCGATGCACGCAATAAAGGGTCTAGAATGAACCGAACCTACCACTCAACACACGTTATTATTTAAGATCTTTAGTTGGCAACAGGCTGTAGCCTATAACTTAAGATGGAAGCAAAAAAGTAGTTACGAAAATACCCCTTCAAGATCTACAATGTAATGAAGGCAAGACGTGCGCAATCACATGAAAACGAACACACCGTTTAAAAATTGGTAACACACAAGGCTAATAAGTGCTCTACAACATGCATAAGCACACTCGAAACGTGCAACATAAAGTGATGCAACAGATGAGCGACTGCGGAATTATTAGAGTGATAAAGTCAAATTTAAGTTCCAAGAGTGTGGTCGTCAGGAAACTGAAGAGTTTCAGTTTATTTAAAATACATACATCATTCAATGGGGAAAGTTCAAAGTACAAAAAGTGGACGACCCTAAATGTGAACTGATAGAATAGGCAGGACAAACGTACCTGCTGGTCGTTGACAGCCCACCTTCCAGTTAAAAATAATTCATCAATCAGTGTTCTATGAGCAACAAGAATAGCCTCGATGAGGTTATGCTGCTCCAAATAATCGAAAGAACAACCAAGGCCTAAAATAGGCATAGATGGCTGAGAACAAAATTCACCGACTTTATGAATTCAAAAGTGTAAAACAAAACCGTTACCTTCCAGAACGACGACAAGTGAACATAGGAGTCGATCGCGCTTAATAACAGCGCTGTGCCGTAGAGACCTAACCAGAATTCGGCTGGATGACATCGCCTGAAGTAATGCATTCAAGTAGCATAAATTCGAGTTGTTTGGGAGGCCCATAGGCAAATCGCCGTTGCGAGCTGTCAACAGACCGAAAGTAAACGAGATCGAGAAGAGTTGATAAATAGGTGTCAATAGAAAAGGTGAACAAAAAGAACTCACCAACCCACAAAGAGCAAACGCCACTTCGCAAGAATGGAAAGGCAATTTTACCAAGGGCAATGGAAGTACTGCCAATCACAAAAGCTAACAACATGTTCTTTCTGTTGTCCCTCAGCCAAGGTTGTTGCAATAGCCCTTAGGATTAGTAAACTGAAAAACAGCGTACATTTCATATTTTCTGAGTAATACAAAGAACTTTGTTTGACTACGTCCATAACCAAGCATTGAGTGTTTCAATATCTATAGAATTCAGGGCCAAGCTTGTCGGAAGTCACGTTGTGCGCTGACCATGAAGGTTAAATTGGCAGGATTAGCCAATCGTTTACACGTTTCATTTGTAAAGGTGTCCGTTCTGTTAAACATGGAAAATAATTTTCCTTTGAGGGCCATTGCATGCGTTGGATTTCTTACAAATAGTGTAATTACAGGAAATCCATGACTAAATCGCTTGGGATCTACCGTTACTAGAATAGCTCCCATTACCAAGTTACAAAATTATACATTGAGTGTGGTCCTCACTTGCAAGTATCGTTGCTTTTGCAGGTCATCGTATGCAATCCTTTCTTACTTAAGTATATATATAGAAAGTAGAACTCATCACTCGGCTTGAAATTAACTTCATTGGCGCGGTGATCGTTTCGCTACTTTGTGTTAATGTAATCTTTGGAACATAAAAATCATGTTCCATACCATACATACCATACATATGCATTCCAAGGAGATAAATTAATTGGGTCTGTGTATGGCCCGAAGGTTAGCCCGCGTGTACAAGGACCAGAAGAATTTCAAAGCAGCCCCATAAACAAAGCATTACAAACCCAACTATGAACTTTGCTAATTCCACTGTTTATGATTTTTTTAGGAATATAGATGCTACGATTTGCAGAGCCCCGAGGCTTCTCACCTGCAAGAAAATGAAATAAAACGGAGCGAAAACTTGCACTCTAGGGAGGACAAATCGGTTGTGCCATCTTACGCGTACAAGAGCTAAACGATCCGTAAATTAACCACCAGATGTTTGGTGCCTCTCTCTCCCTTCTAGCAACGGCCTCGACCCTCCTCTTCGTACAACTCCCGCGACAGCCATCACAACATACTCAGTACTGCAAGAAATCACCTACAAGTCAGCGGCGCCAGTTAACAGCTACCATGAGACTGAGGAACCTTGAACCGGGTGTGGAGTTACGTTCTATCCTACAGCCGGATTCGGAGCCATCAATTGTTTCTACGATCAGACAGTGGAAGTCTGGTCGATAACAGATACGTTACAGGGAAACGGAATCAAACACAGTCCCGTATATGAGGAGAACCGTAGTGTCTTTTTGTGGAAGGAAATTCCAACACAATATTTTCCAGATGATTCATGGAGGTGTCGCTTCGCTTGTTAATAATTTCTCTGTGGAACATAGGGACAAGTTGAGGCAAAACGTAGATATCATTCAGATTCTCTCGCCCTATATGTTAATACCCCTCCTCCACCACGCATATACATGCAACGAACGGTATATACTAAGATAGAAGTTGTTAATAAAGGTCAGGTTCGCTAGTCACTGCCACTAGTGTTGCCTCCCGAGACTTCCTATTAAATAAGGAAGACAGAGCGGATCTGAATACATGCATTCCAGGGAGAACAAGGAGATTAATCTCGAGTTTTGCCCATAGACCACACGAATCTTCATGTAACGGCCGGATATTAGGTGGTTACATAAACAAAGTATTACACTATTAACCGGAGGGTAGATATGCTGCTGCCAACATGTGAAAGCTATCCAGTTATAAACGCATGTTACCTTTCGTATACGAATCCTTCTGCTGTTGCATAAAACCAAACACAACCTAAGTTCGCCCCTTTTATCGTGAGCATCGCCTTTAATATTTCCATTGTCACTCATCTACTATGACCAATATCATACCTCTCATTCAAGACGAGCGTCTGTAGGAAGGCATTTGGTTTTAATTGCTACCGACTTTTCTTTATGATTGCGTTTTCTGAGTCAAACTCTGCATGATAAGGAACGAAAACTAGCTCGACTTAACGCTGTACACTGCATGATCCTGTTCTACAATTATGGTATTTCATTGGTTCGAAGGAGACTACAAGCTATCCACCATTTGACAAATACGACTTGAAGAGAATTCTCTACAATCTTTAAGTCACGCAACGCTTTCCATTTCATTCTTGTGCCTCTTATAAGTTTGTATAAATTTTGTCGATTGTTTAATCAGCTAATCCCGTAACTTTATTTAGTGAGCAGGTAGAGTCACATTATCTCCTTAGCCATGACTTGGATCAGCAAAATTCATTCGACTGAAGTCAACATTGCTTTCTATCTCCTCTTGAGAGATTAAGGCACCAGGTCTTGTGGTGGTATTGCGCAATTTGAAGCAACGACTTAAAGTGGACTTGATGCAGCGCATGCATTAATAGGTAGGTTCACTCAATTCAATATTGGGATTTTTCAGAATCTGTGAACGCCGAATGAAGCAGTTAACTCAAAATTACGACCCAAGGATGACCAACAAGCCCCAAGCGCAGTCGGTATTGTGAGGGTAATGTGACGGATTCTCTGATGAACAAGTGTTCTACCGTAGTAAGCCAAACCGAATATCGATTTTCTTTATTGACCACGATTTTTCGTGATCAATGCACGTGTGCACCCTCAACATGCTCCTTCAGCGAGTGGGATTGGCAGCACGTGGACCAATGAGAAAGTGTGAATAAAGTTCACGAAAAAAGTCATCGGAAGGTGATTTCTCCCGCCATACTTCAACATGGCTCTTTCACTGTCACAGATGGTGTCCAACCCCCTCCCGCAGACCCCTCGTTATTCATCCCTCCCTGCGAAATCCTCCCCTCCGCCTGTTCCTACGGTAACCAGCAGTCAATTAGCCAATGAGGTGATTAAGAAACTTCTGCAGTTTCAGTTGGTCAGTCGTATGGAAAGTCTGAATAGAGAAGACGACGATTATTCCGTACAATATTCCTCACCCATCCACTCAAGCAATGTGTCTCTTGACTCGAGTGTCCATTCTGGATCTGGAAGGAGTCTCTATAAGACTGAAATTTGTAAACGCTACCTAATGAACCCGAATTCTGCCTGTGAGTACGGTGCTCGCTGCAGATTTGCGCATGGGTTGAAGGAGCTCCACCTGACTGCTCGTCATCCGAGGTACAAAACAGAGCACTGTAGGGCATACCAACTGACTGGTAGCTGCCGTTACGGTAAGAGATGCGATTTCATTCACAACGAGACTCCCTACGAGTTGGAGCTAATGAGAACGGAGAACGCACTTTATCAGGAATACTGTCTTCGTCATCCAAAGGCAAAACACGTGACCCTCCTGGAGGTTCTAAGAGAATTTGTGCCCACTCGACCCGAATTCACCGGACTGCTAAACCACGTGGAAATGCATTAGTATTTGTTCGTTAATTTTTCATGCCTTTGGCAGGTGCAACATAATGAACGAGTAATAACTTATGATACGATATGAATACAATAAATATGTATTATGTTAGTATTACTAGTGCCCTGTGCTTGCTTATTTCTGGGTATATAACCAAAGTCCTAACGGTGCTTTCTGCTGTCCTAAACTGCAAAACGTCTACAAAGAAGGTTTTCTGTCAGCATAGTTTGTGCAGTTCCAAATAGTTTCGTTTCTTACGCGCTTGACCTATATCAAGCTGAAATCACGGTGAAGGAGAGTTTATCATGTTTATGATGCCGTACCTATTGCCCTCAAAACTTTGATTTAATTTAAGTTCCTTTCCGTATTTAACACCAATTTCCCCTTTGATTTGGGGTTATGTGAGTAATGATGCCATCAGATGATACAAACTCACCTTCAAAATTCCCCTTGGGGAGACTGAGGAGAGCTCACAGGTAAACATGAATTTCAATCGATTTTCTGTTTTAGGCGAAGCATAGTTAATCGAAGGTCACGTTAGGTCAAACCAACTTCTTGTATTTAGGTATCAGACTACCTGTATCGCAATAGACCTTCCAAATTACCGACTAGTAGTTGTGTGCATGATTTGCCATATGCGGCATGACAAGGGGGTGTTCAGTCTGTGCATCCTTTCCACTCCCATCACTGAACTAAAAAAACGTTTTGAGGATTACTTTTGCTCATCCCGCCGTTCAACCAGACTTCCAGACTGTCCATTCTGCATTTCTGGGGATAGTACTACTCTTGAATGTACCCTACTGACACAACATTAGCAATTATAGCGTCTAGGCCATGGTTCATGGTATCAACTTTCCTCAAAGCTTTTGAGATAGGCAATATTAGAGATATTTAATAGCTCTCATGAGAGTTCTTGCAATCTAGAATTAGTTTCACTTATGTGTAACAGCTATGCATTTCTCATTAATTAATTTGTAGTCCATGTCGTAAGATTGCAAAAGCCATCTGGCATATGCAGAAGCTTCATGCACACTTCTCTTTCTCGCCCTTCGTAAACCGAGTGCCGCTCCAACCGAAAGTTAGGACTAGACAAGCCTGCATGTTATTGAGACGATAGCTGTCCAAATGAAAATCTTACAAACTACTCCAAATTTACCACATGTAAACTACACTGGGAGGGCTACTAAATGACTCCACTTCCAAATGCTTATAGTATGCTCCCACAGACTTACTTCTGCATGGAACTGAAATTTACTGAGCCAATAGTCCCCTTTGACTAATCACCAAATTATACCGTCGAGGTAGTAATTGCAGAAGTCTGATGAGCGCGATCGTGAAACTTGAGAGCTTGAAGGTGTCGAACCCTTTACTGCTCAATTTTCAGGCTTCCTGACCTTTTTCAATACTAACAGTGAATAAATGAAATCGACTATTTTATTGTTTTTCACATTTCCTCAATGATTATATTTGATTTAAAGTTACTGGATGTGGGCATTAGTCTATGGATCTACACAGGAATTATAGAAAGAGGAATATCACAGATCAGAAGGTATCGGATTCATTATTGTTGCCTTGGCGTTGTAGAAGCTTGTAGAAGTGACCCCTTCTCTTGATTAACTCTTCGTGAGTTCCTTGCTACAAATGGAATAGAAGGGAACAAACAAGTTTTTAGAGTTAAACGCTTAGGAATGATAATGCGCAACTTAACTTCCCCTATCGCTCGACATCCTCCAAATCAAGCTGAGAGGTTTGAGGCAAAAGAGATAGAATTTGGGTTCCGCAAAATAAAAAGTTCGAAAATAGAAAAGCTCACCTCGACAATACGACCCTTGTGCATGACAATGATGAGATCGGCGCAACGAATTGTGCTCAGTCGATGCGCAACTATCAAAACAGTCCTCCCTATCGGTAAAAGAATGCAAAAAGTCAAAAATTAGTCAATCACTGCTACTACAATCTTTGAAAACAGCCTTCATAACCATAAACCAAAAAAGAATAAAAATATACACCCACCCTCCATGGCATTTTGCAATGCCGACTGAACTTGATATTCTGACTCCGCGTCCAATGCCGAAGTGGCCTCATCAAGCAGCAGAATAGGGGCATTTTTGAGAAGCGCGCGGGCGATTACCAGGCGCTGCCGCTGACCCCCACTAAGGCCAGCAGAGCTGGAACTGGAGCCCCCACCCACTATACTGTCGTAAGCCTGAGGAAGACGGTCTCGCACGAAACCATCCGCTTGTGCAACTACTGCAGCAGCCACAATTTCCGCCTTCGTGGCTGTAGGACGGGCGTAACGGATATTCTCCTCCACCGTGTTATGGAAGATCTCAGGTTCCTGACTGATGTAGCCCAGCAGACGACCGCGCAGCTCTGTCAGACTAAAACCACGAATATCCACTCCATCGAGTGTGATGCGGCCCGAAAGGGGCTCGTAAAAGCGCTCCAGCAGAGCCAATACTGTTGATTTACCTATGTAGACAGTGGATAGAATAAAAATTGGACGAAACCATGCGTCTCAATTTCTTTGAAATACATCTCATCAATCTTCCAACTTATCAAGATATGGCTTCAGACAATTACGTGTTCCAGTCTGAATCCCTTCACTCACACGCAGCCATCACAATTCCCTAGACAAACATTCAGCAGACGATCACCATAATTCTCAAAACCGTCTACGACACCAATGGTAAGTAGAGAGCAAATTTAGAAACCAATGTAATCTCTATTCTGGTTTTGGAAGTCGCATAACGATTGGTATCAGTTTCATTATATGTGACGCTAAGCAATTGCATCCCACAATTCTTGCAAGTTTGCTCAAGAAAGGCTGAAAAGGAATTGAAATACTGCTTATTCACCACCAAACGCTTCTCTGCTGCTCTATTATCACACTTTCGTAAGCCCATATTAATTCTGTAGCGCGACCGATCCACTCCAGATAAACCGAGTTCTTTGGCCTCAAGGCGACATAAAGTGAACTAGTGGAACTTATAAAATCCTGCTCTTCCGTATCAAAAAGTTCATTCAAGTCAACGTTACTTTCTCTCCTACTGCCCCGATTGTAGTGTACTCACAATTGGCGTAAGTTTCGTCTATGCCTCCATCAGACTTCCAAGATAGAGCATTCCATAACCTAACCAAATGCGCATAACAGATGGTCATCAATAAGGCTGAAAGCCATCTTTAGCGCAATCAAGATCGACAGCATAACTGCATGGATGACCTTACTCATATTGAATCAGAAGCTTGACCTATAAGATTAAGAGCTATCTAAGGGTAAGGATGATTTTTGTGCCTGTGCCAGTTACCATATTCCGTCATGTGCACATGCTGCAACCATCACTTATCCGCATAAAAAGCGATGTTCGCAAACATGCTTTGAGTCTTCCATTGATAAGTTGTGAGGAACAAGTGAGATTCGCTAGCGTGATCATTGCGTGTCTTTACATCTGTGAAGTCCAAAGCCTTCCTTCGACTTGAGAGTTTCTCATAAACATACTTTATTTCCAACCAGCCAAGCAATTACATTGATTTCATGATGAGGTAACGCAAAACTGGCGTCAGCATCATGATCATGCGAGTACGAAGACTATGCTAGTTTGGCTCAATTTAGCAATGGAAAACAGGATATGAAGAAATCGAACTAACCTGCACCAGATTCACCCACAAGTGCAACCACTTTGCCTGCAGGAATTTCAAAGCTGAGGTCTTTAAACACCACAGCCCCGGGGCGATTGGGGTAACTGAAGGTGACATGTTCAAAGCGGATCACAGGAGCAGAAACCGCAGACGCTACTGAAGGAAGTCTGTTAAGACCACTTTTGTAAGCAGGAGCCTCACTGGGGAGGGGATAGGAGAGGAGCTATAACACCAAGCTGATAGTAAGGAGAGGGAACTGTGTCACTCCCCGAAAATTGGTTTGATCTACTTCCATAGTTGAATTTTAACATGGATAATTATCAAACCACATTTGCAGATATCTCATAGAGATTGCTCACTTTACAAAGCAAAATTTTCGAAAAGAACTATAAATACAAATGAATAATTGGAACCAACACAAAACCGCTTCAAATGGTTCAATATTTACATAGACCCAGCGCTGTTAAGATACCAATGATTAGAAAATGAAAGGCTCAAAAGACATGAATTAACGCTTTTCTTATTTCGCACTCCATTGTGAAAAATTGGCTAATATCTCATAACCCGCGAAGTTATCAACTACAACCAGAACATTTAGGCAGCCCACCTCAGAGATGCGCGCAGCAGCCGAGCTGCCCCGGATGACCTGACCGAAAAGGAGGGATATTTGAGTAAGTGACCGATGAACAGCTTGTGCGGCCACTAGAAAAGCCATCAACTGACCAGCATCCATATCGCCTCGATTTATTAAGTTGCCTCCCAAGTAGAGCACTCCAAGGACCAATCCTACATCGAGGGGCAAGAGAGACATTAGACTTAAGGGAGGAATTCTCTTGCGAAAATCCAGAAGCAGTACAAGAATTACTGACACCTCAGAAAACATCCATTAACTTACCATTTACTGCAAAGTTGGATAAGCCTTGAAAGCACCCAATACCGTATCCCAAGCTTTCGTGCAACCAACGCGCTTCTTCTGTTCCCTGACGATATTGCCTAAAGAATGAAATGGGTATTTTGTGATGTGATCATTATTAATAGGTGATAGTAAGCCCAGAAACAAGCGTACTTTATCATTTGATCCTCCATCGCCAATGACTTAACGGACCGAATGTGAGTAAAGGCCTCTGTGGCAATTTCTGTGGTTTCGTTGCTCTGCCGAAACATACATGCTACTTAGATGAAAAGTATGAGTGGCGCTAAAAAGAACAAAATGCTAACCTTTTCATGGGCAGCATGACTCATGCGACGCAGTTGGTTGCCAAGCAGGCCGCCAACGAAGAATACGAGTGGGAGACATCCCATTAGAGCTGCGGTTAGTGTTGGTGATATCATATACATTGCAATACTCGATCCAATTATCTAAAGAATTAAAGTTATCACTTTTACAGCGGGTCAGCTTCACAAATTCTAAACAAACGTCATAGCAGTTACTCTGCAAAGTTCCAGCAATCAAGAAATCCAAATGGGGAAGTGAACGTGCCTGGGCTCCACTACGAAGGCCTTGAGAAACGCAAAATTTGAAAGAGCTCTTAAAGTCTTGTACATCGGCTGTAATTCTAGAACAGTAAGGAAAAAGGTCCGCAAAACTGTTCATTTCAAGAAGTGAGAAAAACACAAGAGTACCCCTCATTTGATGCAAAAAACGCTTTACAAAAATTAAAAGGCGGAAAGTTTTCACAACTCGGGTTTCAGTGTAACTCGACATAAACAAAAGAAATGTAAGAAATGAAAAACAAACAGACAGAACCATCACCTCTCAATAATCCAGCCAGATGTCCGTTCATCGAAAAAACGCACTTTTTGATATAGTACGTGCTCAAAGAGTATATCCCGCAGACGACAAGCAACACGCTCACCTACTGTTGCCAGAAAGCCTATGTACGCAAATGTGCATAGCGACTACAATGAGAGAATCTTGTTTATAGTAAAATCACAGAGCAGGTAGAACGTAGAAATCCTAATTTGGACAAGGAGCTGACCTGGAGTGAAAAGATTCCACACAGTCGAAGAGCAGGTGACCTAAGGGCAGACGCCGAGAGGGCATGGGAATGAGCTGATTGGGCAAGGACGTTTATAAGATCACCCAACAGTATAGGAATACGAATATTGTAATATGCCGCGCCAAATGCACCCTTAAGGCAATTGTTCACCACATTGCACCTACCAGAACTGCGAGGACTAAATACGTCAGATCGAAAAAAACAAGGGAGCATAAAGTCTTTAAAGTGATCGTATTTGCTAGGGCGCTTCCATCAGGTTTCCTCATCAGTGCATCCAAGGCAGATACTGAATGCAAGGACTCCTCCTTGATAAAAGTATCGTCGCACCGGGAAGAAACAGAGAGGGTAACCGCAGCACCTGCAGCACACAAACTGAAAGAGGCGTAAGAGCGGAAGTTCTGTTTGACATGGAGATAAATACTATTCACGGATTTGTTACACGAAAGTCTATTGTAAAGCATTCGATACGATCTTATTGCTGTTGGTCTAACCAGACCTAGAAAGTGCTGATATATCAGCATGGTCGGATGCGGTCTCGTACGAACTTGGGCTATACATTAAAGGCTAATGCGACCAGGTTCTAGATTAAAGGTTACATTAAATTAGCCACTTTCCTAATAGTCAATAATGTAACCGTATTTGTTTTCTACAATTCGTTTTAAGCATAGAAAGTCTTCGCTGGTTCTTGGGACCGTTTGGATTATAGCTGCAAAAAAAATGACTAAACATCGTATAAATTCACTTTTAGCTTCTGCAGAGTAATGCTTAGGAATGGTAGTTAATTCTTATTAGCTCTGCGAGAGCTGCCTGTCTATCCTCTGGTCTCTGAACCTCAGACCTCATGAGACAGTAGGTTGCGGATGATTTATTGGGCATTTGCTATTGGGAAGGATGGGGAATGGGATACAGATGAGGTGAGTAGGAGATATCACACCGAGGGAGGCTTCTCGCCGACTTCACGCACGTGATTCGCGTTCCCAATCGGTTCCCGCCTCTCACCTATAAAAGTACACTTAAACAAGCTAGTATATATTACAAGCTCTACAAATTGTAATATATTCTAGCTTATTTAAGTGGACTTTTATTGGTGAGAAGTCGGGACCAATTTGGAGCGTGATATCTCCTACTCACTTCATCTGTATCCCATTCCCTAGCCCTCCTAACAACGATGCCTAATAAATCATCTACAACCAACTTCCTCTTAAAGTCTGAGAACCAGGGACCAGAGGGTAGGCAGGCAGTAACTACACTGGTGGCAGCGTCGGTCGACATCCCTCCCTTCAAAGACGGCACTGATTTCGATGACTGGCTTTTCTTTACAAAGGCAGATCTCGAACTCTACGAGCCTGGTCGGCGAGTACCATTGCTACTCCGCGCCATGACCTATGACCTATGTCAGATATGGAAGAATGATGTAAGGTCCTTGTCAAATTAGCATCCCTCCAGAAGAAAGCAGTTCTGGCTTCAGACTTTTTCCACCGGTTATAAAAACCGGGGGAGAGTGATGAAGACCTTGCAGGGAATCTCCAGGCGTTAGCCAAACAGGCATTCAAGGATTGCTGTCCTCTGTGGGTTGCCTCTTGGATAGCGACCCAGTTCGAAAGGGGTGTACGTCCACCTGCTTTGGCAGAACAACTGGTGCAGATGAAGACTAGCAGATTGAGCCGCCTCATCGATGCAGCACTAGCCAAGCTCCAAGAGTTACATCTCTCAACCGAGTTCAAGGCCCGCATTCACCCGTGGACTCTCAACAAACGACCTACCGGCGAACAACGGCGTGCGCTCCGAACCGACTCCTCAACACACAGTAAGACACAATTCTCTTTGTCTTGTCTAACTCTCACACGATGTTCTACCTTTATGCATTTACGGGGCAAACTAGAAGGTCACACATGCGTATTTCTTTTGGACTTGGGGGGCAACCCGTTCCATACTAAATCCACAGGCTTTTGCCATGGTTTTCAACAAGGCCAAAATTACCCCACTGACAACTAGACTACGATCTGCAGAAGGAAAAGCAATCTCCGTAACAGGAGAAGCATCTATCAGAATTTCAATTGGGAATAACAGCTGGGAGGTAAATTTCGTGCTCTGCCCAGAATTAGCCTGGGACGTATTGTTAGGAGCCGACTTTTTACACCAATCCTGAGCAGTTATGGACTTCGACACGGGCATGCCCAAAACTCACCGATGGTCCAAGAAGAAATGTTCGATCCCTAAACTAAGGAAAGGCGCAGATGATATATGCAAATCCCTTTTCTTTGCCCTCGCCATCCCTGGGGCAAATCTAAACCATCTCTGCGCTCGACTAAAACAGGTTACTGAAGCTGAGAGGAAGGAACTGCACTCACTCCAGAAGAATTACGCTCAAATGTTCTCCTGGGAGGTAGTGAAACTGGGACCAACGAACATAGTCAAACACAGAATCGATACGGGTGAGGCCAAACCGTTCTGGCAACCCCCTAGAAGCATACCGCCACCTCTACAAGACGAAGTACATCGACTGATTGACGAGATGCTGCGCGATAACGTTATCAGGCCTCTCAGTCACCCTGGGCTTCACCCATCGCATTTGTTAAAAAGAATGTCGGCAGCCTATGCCTATGCGTCGATTATAGAAGGCTCAATACAGTACCGAAGAAGGATACGTTCCTCCTACCCCACATTAACGACTCGTTGGATACTCTCCAAGGAGCGAAGTGGTTCTCGACATTGGATCTGAAGTCCTGCTACCGGCAGGTGGAGGTAGCGGAGAAGGATAGAGAAAAAACAGCCTTTTTTGTGCCAAATGGATTATACGAATTCCAAACGATGCCCTTTGAGCTTTGCAACGCAGCAGCCACCTTCCAGTCTCTTATGCAGACGGTATTGCGTGGCCTATGCCCGAAGCACTGCATTATCTACCTGGACGATACTCTCGTTTTCGGGAAAGACATCAAACAACATAACTCCAATCTCCGATTAGTGGTGGATCGACTTCGGGAGGCAGGTCTGACCTTGAATCCGAAGAAATGCGATTTTCTCCTAAAGTCGGTCACTTTTCTGGGACACATAATTTCTGCGGACGTGATATCAACCACCGAAGACAGAACAAGAGAAGTAAGGACTTGACTGACACCTACAAATCAAACGGAACTTTGCAGCTTCCTTGGTTAGGCAAACTATTGTAGGCGTTTTGTACAAGGTTTCGCCAATATCGCGAGTCCCCTATACAAGTTGACAGAGAAACAGGCAAAAAGGAGTTTCGTTGGGAGAACGAACACACAGAAGCGTTTAAGGAGTTGAAGCGCGCTCTCTGCGCCGCACCGATTTTGACTCTACCAAACTTCAATGTCGAGGCCCCTCCTTTCGTGCTGAATACAGACGCAAGCGACGAGGCGGTGGGTGGAGTCCTATCCCAGAAAGACAAGGACAGGAGAGAACATGTGATCGCGCATGCCAGCTCACGTCTCAGCAAAAAGATGAAGCAGAAGAGTGCGACGGAACGGGAGCTTTTCGCTATCTATACTATGGTCAGACATTTTAAGTACCACTTGATGGGAAAACAATTCGTTGTGAGGACCGACCATCAAGCACTGACATGGTTGAAGACGGTGAAGGAGATCGATCGTTCGGTTGCAAAGTGGTATGAGGAGCTGCAACAATATGATTTTATAGTGCAATACAGGAAAGGAAGCTCTCACGGCAATGCGGACGCGCTGTTACTGAGCGAGCCTACTTCTCATTACTGGAGAACCACGCAGAGCTCCGACCCCGACACAGCCTTATTCTATGAAAGACTAAGGACGTCCTCAACAAAGCCCACAGTCGAGGAAATGAAGTTGGCGAGCAAGAGAGCCAAGCAAATATGGCAGAACTGGAATAAACTCTCCCTAGAGGACG